AAAACCATGCAACTTTTGTCTGAAACATTTTTTGATATCTCACTTCGTTTCCGAAAAATATGCCCGCGTCACTATAAATGCCGCACCCTGTATATGTGGTATATATGTGGTAAAGGTATGAAATATTTTGTTTATTATTTTAGGATGGCAGGACATATAGATTTGTCCGAACGCATAATTGAATGTATGTATGAAGTAACCGATAGACTAACGTATCACATATGCTCCCGTAAACCAAATCATCGAGGTGATGAACATCTCATCATTTCTGACTTGACTTCTAGCTTAGACAAAAATGAGCCAGCTTTGGAAGGAAAAAGCAGATTACAAATGGTATGTAGAAATTTATATTAAGATTATTTACTTCACTTATTTTTGTTCTGTATTTTGCTTAATTTGCTTTATTTCTGTACAGTTGTCAAATCACTTGTTGGAGGAATTGGCCATGGATGTTTATGACGAAGTGGATCGCCGAGAAACAGAAGCTAGTGGGTGTTATTTTTATATTCTTTACATGCTTTATACATAAAAAGTAGAAATATACTGATTATAATTTAAATGTAATTTAAATTATTTGAATGATATATATATATATATATTTTTGTCATGCTATTCCTATGGAAGGGTGAGTAAAAACTTTTTCAGCTTAGCAATGCGATTCTAATCCGTAATTATGAGTGTAATAAAAACATTTATTAAAAAATGAATAATAATAATAACAATATATAGGAAAACAGATTAATATCTAATATTTTATATATAGTTTGGTTTTCAACTGCATCTCTCCCAGAGAAGTGTGCTGTTCCATTTCTGCCAGTTAATCCACAATTGTCGTCTACCAGGAATCAAGGAAGACAGAAATTAGCAAGATTCACACCAAAAGAATTCACTACACTTATAGCAGATTTACTGGTTGAGGCGGGTCGAAGACATATGCTTGCTAACAACGCATTTCAAAGTAATACTATCGAATTAAAAAACATTAATTTTTTTATTTTATATGACAGAATTTAATTACATTTGATTGTATTATGATATATATATTGTCCTTTAGATCCCGCGATATCTATGCTGCACAAAGAACAACTCGGTAAACATGGATCACAAATGTCTGACGA